AAAAGCAGTGTCTGATTGTGATGTTTGATGACCATTTGTATACTGCTCTATCTTATACAGTGTCTCTTCATGTTCATGGTATCCATCCTTTCTCCTAAACACAAGTAACCCAACAAATAAACTAATATTATCCCTATTTTGCATATAAAAAATTAATGCTCAATAAATGTTAACTGACTAAAATCTAGGAATTGAAACCATATGCAATGCTACATTTAAAATTTATGCCAAGTTACCTTCATTTATAGAAACATCTAGGTATAAAATATGGCTATTATTTCAAAAAAAAATTTAATCCATTCACTGGCAATGAGAAACCAACTTCCTTCTTCTCCATTCCATTTTTTCATCACTCATGAGATCTCATATCATCACTATGTATATTTTTATAATGAAGCTGCTATACTTTATATCTGTTCTCTTTTTTAAAGATTTATTTAAGGAAGAGAGAGAGAGGCAGAGGGAGAGAGTCTTTTTTTTAACAAGAGAAAAGAAAGAACATTTATTAACATGCACAGCATACATACACATGAAAGAAATTGATGCATATCTCAAAGGGGTGTTGAGAATTTGGGGCTTATGTAGCATCTTAACAAAGAACTATACATTGGTAGAAGAGTGACAAGAAAAAGGAAAAGGGTTAGGCTTTTAGGGACAGCAAGATATGGGGACATAAGTATATGGGGAGGGGGTTAGCTAATGGAAGGTAAGGGTTATTTTAATAAGGTTTGTTATGTAGAATAGAGTGAGTCTTAAGCAGACTCCATGCTCAGTGTGGAGCCCAATTTGGGGCTCAGTCTCATGACCCTGAGATCATGACCTAAGCTGAAACCAAGAGTTGGGCACTTAACTGACTATGCCACCCAGGCACCCCACTTTGCTTCTGTTCTTATTTGAGGTTTTTTCTTGTTCATTTAAAATATAACATTAATATGATTTTACCCATAACTAATGCATGATCATTGCTGAGAAAATGAAAAATAAGAAGATAATTTATTATCCAAAGTTAATTATTATTGTTTTTATTTATTCATAGTTCCTGTTTTTAAAATAAATTTTATTATAGCTATGAGTTGCTGTGTACTGCAGAGATTTTAGTGTTTGGTTCATGCATATTTATTTTCAGGTCATTGATATTAGCACATTAGATTGGTCTCATTTTTTCAATTTTTCTTATTTTTAAAAATTTTAGTAGGTTTTAAAATTTTATTTCCAGTTTAGTTAACATACAGTGTTATATGAGTTTCAGATGTACCATATAGTGGTGCAACAGTTCTATTCATGACTGAGTCCTCCTTCTTAATTCATCTTACCTACTGATCAAAAACTTTGTCTTCTTTTTAAAAAATTAACTGTGAAGTTTGTGATTTTTTTTACAGTGTTTCTAGAGCTCCCACCTTTTTTTGTACTATGTCTTAGACAGTATTTATGTCCACCTCCTAGTTTGTCCTACCATGTGGTTATTCCTGAATAAGTATGAAAAGGTCAGCGTCTCACCACCTGTACATTTCCATTCCCCTTTATTAACACTCTCCTGCTGCCACATCTCCCACCTTAGTAACTGTCACAGATGTGTTTGTTTGCACTCATTTGATTCTCCCAAAACTGACCCTGCTCCCTTCTTACAAGTTTTTTGGCACCTCTTTCTTCAGCTGATTTGCCCTTCTTTGTCTCTGCATCATGCTCAAATTCAGTGCTCCCTTTTCTGGTGCAGAAAATGAGTGCTCTCACCTCCAACCTCTCTGCTTGGCCTCAGTCCTTCATCCTACTGCAAACATATGGCCAGGCTGCACACATGGCCCTCTCTGTGTAGTATACCCCACAGAAACACTGCATTCAGATGCACATTATTTTTTTCTGAAATCAGGCCAGTTGTTCAGTGTTCACCATTATAGGCAGATACTTGATGCAAAAGAAAAAAAGACAATAAAAGACAATGACAAGAGCAACTAGCCAATCAGTGTAATGTCCCTTCTTTCTGTGTACAATCAGCTCCAGCTGTAGGCCCTTTATCTTGAGGGTTCATAGGATAATGCACACACATAATTAACCCAAATAAACCCACTTTCGTGAAAAACATTTTGAAGATTTCAGCACAAAAGAGCACTTTTTGGTCCAGATCCTGTACTATTCTGAATTTTTAAAAAGACCACACAGAAGCTTCATCAACAGTACCCTAATTAAACTCATCAGTTCACAGATGTTTACAGGAAAATGCTCAGCAAAAATTTTCACCAAGAATTTCTGTTTCCTGAGAAGAGAGATGTATGATGACAATAGTAATAGTAATAAGAGCTAACATTAATGAGTATTTTCATGTTCCTGCCATTTTACATAGATGAATACATTTAAATCAATAATTCTTTGAGGTAGCAATTATTATCATACCTATTTTACAGATGTCAAAACTGAGGCTAAGAAGATTAGGTTAATTGTCCAAAGTCACATGGCTGGGAAGAACCAGGACCAGGACTCAGATCCTAGTCTGCATAATTCAGAAGCATGTGCTCTTGATCACTATGTTCTGTTGCCAATATCCTACCACCTGTTGCATAACTTTTAAAATCTGTGTCAATGTTTCAACACTTTCTAGTCACCGAATAAAAACCAACTGAAATACTACTATTATAAATCATCATTATCCCCCACTTTTCACCTCTACCTTTTGCTCAACTTCTACTTTCTGGTCTAAAGACTTCTCTGGTGACCTAAGAATCTGCATGCAAAGTCATTTTCAGTAAACATGATTGAAGCTTGAACTGTGTCACACAAGAATATGAGATTCAAGGGAGCTAGGGACCTTCTCTATCTGAAAGAGGAATTTAGATTAGTAGTTAAAAGCTTGGTCTCTGGACCTAAACTGTCTGGCATTTCATATGCTTCTATCACAATAACATCAATGACTTTGGGCAAGCTTCGTAACCTCTCAGAGACATGCTTTTCTAATCTATAAAATGAAAATAATTACAACAGCTACCACACAAGTTGTTACGAGGTTCAAGTGTGTTAATGTATGTAAATGACTTAGAATAATGCCCAGTGTGAATACAGCACTATATAGTGTCTGCCATGATTATTATTTTCATTCTTACTATTTATTATTCTAATATGTAGAATCATGACTGACACATATAAGTATGCATTTCACCAATGGATGAACAATTGCTAGATACTGGAAATACAAAAGGGTGTAAGAGAATGTCACTTGTCCAGAAGAGAGCTATAGGAACCAGGGGGAAAGCCTATAGTTTAATGGAGAGTTCACAGTCCGCATTCATACACATCAGTCAGATCCAGTTTCCTCTGGTTCCAGATTCCCTAACTTGGGTTACACCATCAAGGATTAATTGATACATGGAATGTATAGAACAAGACTAAAGCACTAATTAAATAGTACAGAAAATATATAGAGGATCCAATCTAATACTTTTCGGTACATTTATTTTAATGCTGCATCCTTTCAGCAGAAATTAACTAAAGAATCACTTCATTAAAATAATAGTAGCCAAATAAGTATAACCTAGGTATTTAAAATACTCTGTAAATATTTTAAAACCATTTAAGAGAAGTGCTGCAGAGATATTGCTGTAATGCTATGAAGTAAGAATTGCACTTGTATCGGGGTGTAAAAAGGAGGAGTTGCTGTTAAGTGGACAGAAATGGGTACACTTTAACTTGCTCACCTGCAAAGCTCTGTTTTGCAATATTAGCATTCTTTCCTTAGAAAATTGACTTGTTAAATAACATTTTGATGGGAACAATTTTTATATTTTTTGTATTTATTTTTATTTTTTTAGAGTGGGGGAGAGAGCATAACAGCAAAAGAGAAAATCTTAAGCAGATTCCACACCCAGCATGGATCCTGACATAGGTCTTGATCTCCTGACCCTGGGATCATGATCTGAACCTAAATCAAGAGTCAGAGGCTTAACCATCTGAGCCACCCAGTCACCTCAGATGGGAATAATTTTTAAAGTGAACAAAACCAAGTTTGGTGTAGCTGCAGGAAAATTAGGACTCTCATATAGTGATGGTATAAGCGTGAACTTGTTCCTCTTTCCATAGATCACTTCAAGAATAGGTATCAACCAAGTGCCTTTGGCTCAGGTCATGATCCCTGGAATTAAGACCTGCATCTGGCTCCCCGTTTCTCCTTCTCCCTCTGCCCATCTCCCCTGCTCGTGCACACTCTCATGTTCTCTCTCTCTCAAAAAAAATACATAAAATCTTTTAAAATTTTTTTTAAAAAAGAATAGGTATCAGAAGGCTTATAATATTCATAAATCTTGGTCCAACAATTCCACTTATATGATTTATCCTAAATAAATCATCAGACTTGTGTGCAAATATAGAAAAAGTTTCTTGCAACATTATTTATAGTAGAAAAAAATAGAAGCAAACTAAACATGCTTTAGTAGGAGATTGGTTAAAGCATTATGCAACACAATGCTCTATGGAAAACAAAGTCATATTGTTGACATACATCTATGATATGGACCAACAGTCAGTCTAGATTTAAAAAGTATGTTCTAAAACAATGTGTACAATATGGTAGCTATTACTTAAAGAACTATATCCCAAATAGGGAGACTTTAGTTAGTTTTTATTCTTTATGGTGTTTTTTTAAAAGTTTATTTTTAAAGTTTTTTAAAGTTCATTGAGTATGTATTACTTTTGTAATGGGAAAAACTATAGCATAAGAGAGACATCTGACCCCTCCTTCCTCTTTTCCACAAATAGCATTCTGATTTCCATTATGATACATTGCTTTCTCATAGAACAAGACAGAAGCAGCTTGGTTTTTTTAGCATCAACAACTGTACGTTATCTGCTTTGGCTAATGCCATTAATCCATCTTTTTTGTCAAAGTGTGATGTAGATACTGGATTGTAATCATTGCAATTTAATCTTTAAATAAGGTCTAATTTGTATATCTTTTTGCCTATTTCTTTTCACCCACATAGATTTAACTCTAATACTGAATATTATTTTCCTTTCAGGTAAACAACTACAGTTTAGAAGAAGTGACTCATGAAGAGGCGGTAGCAATACTGAAGAACACATCCGATGTCGTTTATCTAAAAGTTGGCAAACCCACCACCATTTATATGACTGATCCTTATGGTCCACCTGATATCACTCACTGTAAGTACCACGCTCATTGTCACCTTTGCCAGGTCTACAAAACTGGAATTCAGTAAAACTTGGCAAAGTACTCTGCTTGCATCTTCACTCTTGTTTAGTTTATGGAAATAGTTCCAAGGGGTGCTGTGGTTCACTCCCTGGTTGCCTTACGAGGCCTTAACTAATGTTTTAAAGGTGGGACACCTGATGAGTTAGAAAGTCCACTGTTTAAGGAAGGCTTAGTGATGCATGTTGTGAACAGTGTGATTATGGTAATGTAAAAGCAACATGTTTTAAATCCTATTTCTCAAGCCCCTAAAACATGATAGTCCTCATGCCATTGTATCCCCCCTTCCTACTTCAATCTATATAGTAGCAAAGCAGAAAAGAGAGAAACTGGCAAAATAGACAGGAGATAGCACTGTGTTCCCTCCTGGGGGAGAGGATCTTGCACTTGAATAGTGGAATTGTGATCCTCTGTCACCATCACCATAACTCTTATGTTTATCTGAATGTTATATTGGCAGGGAAGCCAGGGAAAACTCTCAGCCACTATGGCAGTAGAGGTGGGTTGCAAGTGGGTACTTCTAGGGCAACAATTAACTATGAGATACTGTGTTGAGTCCTAATAAAGTCCACTTCTACATAAGCCCCATGTTTCTGTCTCTTCTTAATAGGTCAGCAAGAACTTTATCTTAGGTTCTGTCTTTGGGGACTAGATTTAGAAGCAATTTTTTTTTCCTTGTGAGTTTAAGGGGCAATTTTGTCTACATCACTAAGCTCGCTCATTCTGAAATTTTGAGTAACCAGCTCTGAGACTGAGAACTCGAATATCTTCAAGATCTACCATTAATACTATGGTCTTAAGGAAGTCATTTAATCTCTCATAGATTTAGATGTTCCTCTTGAGAGAAATTTAAAGGTTGAATAATTTTGCTACCTGCCCATTACATTAGCTATTGCTTTTCTTAATGATGATTTGAAAAGTGACTTGCCCCCAAAATATGTCTTTTTCTCAAGCATGCAGTAAGCTGAGATCAGCCTTATATTAGGATATGAAAGAATTTTAACTTTCAAAGTTTTTCAGACTGGATGAATTTAGAAAAATCAGCCTTGAGACTTTGAGCTACTGGTAAATAAGGTCAGTGTTAAAGAGATAAAAGCACACAAATAAAGCTTGCTATTCAATTAAAAATATATATATTGAGTAGCCTCAATATGTGTAAGACACTTGTAAGGTAATGTATGGGATACATAGGAAATGCAATCCTGGCCTTTATTGGAAGGAAGGCTAATTCAAATATATGAATAGCAGCAATACTTGGCAATGTAAGAGATGTACCTCACATGGGAATGGTAAAAATAAATGTGCTTTGGGTACTCACAGGAGAGGTGTACTACCTGTCTTTGGAAGATCATAAAACTATTAATGGGAAGTGTGGCATTTGAATTGTTTCTTAAAGAATAGATAAAATTTCAGTATCAGAGACGTGTTAGGAGACAGAAATTGTAGGTAACTGATGAAAGTACAAATGTTGGAAAGAATTGTCTTTGAGGATTGTAGGATATGTGTCAGCAGAATGTTAAAATGGATCAATCTTGTACGAATGACAAACGGAAGTTTATATTCACAGTAGCAGCAATGGAGAGACGTAAGCAAGGGAACAGCTTTATCAGAGTTGGATTTCTCAAAGTATAAAATGGATTTCTAGAGAGGGGTAGAAGGCAGGAGACTCAGGCAGGAGGGGCTTTCAGTCATTTAAGGAGATGAAGTACTGTGGAGGATTAGAAAAGAAAGGCCAGAGTCCTTAGCCTTTCTGGGATGGGAGTACAGCATATTTTGAGATTAAAGTCTTATACAAGAATTTGCTCCTAGAAACCTAGATTTGATGATTGAATATTAATTATATGAAAAGAATATGAGCTCTGCAATTACAAAGCTAACATTTTTATTTCAATAGAAAATTAATCATCAAAAAAAAAACAAAAGAAAATTAATCATCTTTCTGAAAATGCATGGGCTGGGTCTCTCCTCCAATTCTTCTCCTCACCTAATTATACGAACTGGGTTTATAGATATAAATGTTATTATATCTTTCCAATCCTAAAGGTCACCATGTGCTTGTGTATATTAAATGCAAACAAACAGTAACTCCTCCCTCTTGGGAGACCAGAAAATCCTCAGCATATAGGAAAGTCTTCCTATTTTTAACAGAACGATAGCATGACACATTGAATCACCCACATAACAGGTTTCTTCTCTTTTCTTTTTTTTTTTTTCACCCCTTAGCTTATTCTCCACCAATGGAAAACCATCTACTCTCTGGCAACAATGGAACTTTAGAATATAAAACTTCCCTGCCACCCATCTCTCCAGGAAGGTACTCACCGATTCCAAAGCACATGCTTGTTGAAGACGATTACACCAGGTCAGATATGCTTAATGGTTAAATTGGGCTCATGATCGTGTTACTGGGAAGAAACTGCATTTGCCTAACATGTCAGGCATTGCTTTTGGGGTTAAAGTTTCTGAGCACCATTCAAACTTATATAGTCTTGTTTCCAGGGGAAATCTGCAAATTCTTATAATCATGTGTCATTTGGAATCAAAATCATTAATTTTTTTGTGAGAAGTGGTACTATACACATACTCATCACTTTACAATTTATTAAGACTTTCACACATGTTGTCATTTGAGCTCAACAGCCATTTTATAAGAGAGGTAACTTTAGAGAAGCTGATCCTGAGGTTCAAATAAGGAACCTCACATGACATCTCTGCTTAGGGAAGAAGTTAGGACTGAAACTTTTGTCTTTAGACTAAATTTCATGTTTTTGATACCAATGGCTACCCACAATTCAAAAGAGTTCGGAAGTGAGTCAACCCTTCCTTTAGTGCAATAGCTATAGGTAGAAAGAAAAGAGGTGGCATTAACTGCAAATGGTTTGAGTTTAATATATGCTGTTAATTCCAAAGGGGAACAGGACAGGATTTTAGGATAGAGCACAGAACCACATTACTAATGCCATGAAGTAAAACCAAGTTTAGGCGGCACACCTAGGAGTTGGGTATGACAGTTCACACAGCAGAAACTTCCTTGACTTAATTGTCACCATTAAGGATTCAATAAATGTTGGATAATGAATAAATCAATGAATAAATAAGGGAAGAAATAAGAATAAATGTAAATTTTTTTGTCTTTAAATGTTTTTGTTCCAAAGTAATGTATGCCCATTGCATTTGGTGAATGAAACTGTTCAGGAAACAAAACCCTCTCTCAGACTCCTGCCAGAGCAACTATCTTGAGGTTCCCAATGTAACATCCTGGCATGAATCTTTCATACTTTCTGCATGTTCATATAAACTCATATTAATTCAGTCAGATATAGAGGGGCTTTGATTATTTTTACAGATTAAGTTCATATTTTAGAAATTGCCCTACAATTTGCTGTTCTCCATGAGCAGTACTTTTACCTGAAATGAGATTGCATATAAATATGTACACACTTTTTTTGAAAGTGTTTGTGTGTAAAAATGACAGAGATGGACCCTTTTGGTTTAATATCCTGCCTGTCTAATGAAGCCATTTGTCAGCCTTTAAAAAATAGAGGAGGCTTCCTGCCTCTTTACTTCCCTCACCGGTATCCATGCCGGCTTTGGTCTTTTCATTCCTTTGCTATTTCTTTTTAAATGATTAAGCATTTTCCATTTATTTTGCAATTTCAGGTTTGCTGAAGTAGCTTGTTACATCTTTAGCCAAGGAATGGAATGTTTAGATGCTGCAAATGTGCATCTGTGGTATATAAATCAAATATAAACTTCTTCCTATGCTGAAACATCTAATCTCTATGTTCTTAATTAAAATGAGGGCTGCAGCAAAGATAATCCTCATGGCTCTCTAAAACATTGTGTAAATATAGGCACCTTTATTCACCAGAGCAATGATCTATTTGCTTTCATTCTATCACTAATATTTGATATGATTTTAATTTGAAAATGTCGTTTTATCTTACGAGACCCCACATGGAATTAAAATTGATTAAATCCCCTTCATAATCCAGGCCCTTTGCTAGCTGTTTTACATACACTATTCATTTAATTCTCCTGAAAACGCAGGCTGTCATCCCTATTTTATAGATGAGAAACTGAAGTTCAAAGATGTTAAGTAACTTGCTTATAGTCACACAGCCTTTAAGTAGAAAAACTGTGGGTGCCCTGCCAGATACAAGATCCTGGCTAAGAAGAAACGTTTTAATTTTCTCATTTTAAAAATGAAAACCAAGTCATATAAAACTGTTCATCACAGAAATACATAGCTCTAAAGAGACCCAAGAGTTTCAGTAAGCTCTAAAGCCAGTTAGATTAGATCAGAGTTGAGACCTATTTCTGCCACTGGTTAGATGACTGCCAGAAATTTATTTAACCACCACAAGCCTACTTCTTCATCTATATAATGGGAATAGCAATCAAATTTTTCTTAACAGGTTGTTGTAATGTTTGAGTGACATAATATATGCAAAGAACTTGTAACAGAGCCTGACACATCATGAATATTAAATGTTATCTATTTACAGACACTATACTTGTTATAATGTCACAAGGAATGTTTGAACAGATGGTGTCCTAAGAATAGAGTCCACCTATTTCTATAGGGTTGTGCCTTGGTATTGTGGTGTGGTTCTTGTCCCACCTCCTCCTCCCTTATTCTCTGGCAGGACAATTTTACTAAGAACTCTCCGTAGAATCTTCTGAATGTCTGGCGCCAGGCAAACTTGTGAATTATATCAGTTTTAACACACACACACCCCTCTCCCACTCTCACCATTGCTTTGTCCTCTCACAGGGGTCTGTGCTGTAGGCACTGCCATGGATCTCAAAGGTATTTGCTCAAAGGCAAATTCATTGCCTTGTTCATCAATATTTATTGGACACTTCCTACTAGACAGCAGGAACTGCAGTAGGAATGAAAAATTGAGTAAGAAATGACAGCTCTAAGAACTATTAAACTGGGACAAAAATATAGGTAAACCAGCGTGGATCTTCAATGCTTATTCCCTGATTATGCAGACCCCCTTTGTGAAATTTTCTAAAAAGGCTAATCTATTATTTTTTTTTTCAATTCTGAGGTTATATATGTTCATATCAAAATGTCATTTTTCATTTTTTGGTGTATGGTAGTAAATGGTAGATATTTACCTTACTATACCCTTACTTGGAAAATGAAATGTGAGCAAATTTATCAGTTCTCATCTTTTAAAAGTAAAAGGTCTGTAAAATGTCAAAGTATGGCAACTAGAAACAGCAACAAACAATTAGGTCCACTCTAGGAAGTGCTCTGGTGCCACCCTAGCAGAGTTCTTTCACACCACAAGAGTTACCTAGTAAATATTTGTAAATGAATTTCAGCTTTATATGAATACCAAAGGAAAAGCCTATAGAATCAAAGAAAGTTTTAAAGAGGAGATAACTTGTAAGTTTCAGTTTGAAAAAAATGTGTAGGTGTTGATCAGAAAGTCAAGGGATGAGGAAGGATATTCTTGGTAGAGGATAACACATGCAGATTCATAGAAGAATGTGAAATGGAATAAGATGAAGCAACAGCTTGAAAAATTAGACTGGTAAAAGAGAGTGGTTCCTACCTTTAAGTAATCTCTGTATTCCTATCCTTTCTGTCATATGCAACCTACTTGTAAAACTTAGAATATATTCAATAGTAAAAACAAAAGGATCACTACTATATACTGTTACCACAAAGTCTTTTAACATGTATGATTCCCCTTATTTATATTATATTATTATTCTTGATCTTTATAAATAACAAAAATGCTCAGAGAGTTTAAGTAATTGCCTCATATCATACAGCAAGCAAATAGCAGAATCAAAATTTGAATTCAGATTTGTGTTCCCAGGCTTCATCCTCACATCACACCTCATGTCCCATTTTATACATTCAGTTTCCATAGAGAAATGTTGGGTAAACAGGATTAAGTTTATATCAGGAGATTGGTTTCTAGTCCTGCTCCTACCACCTTAGCATGTAATGACCCTGAAAAAGCCATTTAATCTTTGTGAGTCTTGATTTTTGCATCTATAAATTTGGGATAAAAGGTCTTCTAATTTCCTCACGGAATTGTGAAATTTCAGTGTGGTAATATGTGTTAAAGTTTCCATTTTTAAAGGGCTAGATAAACGTATTATTATCAGAAGCTTATGTTTGAGGCCTACTTTGAATTTTCCTGAAATAGTAAATCAAGTAATTGATCTCTAATGATGGGACTTGGGCTAATGGGGAAACATTTCTGTGAAATAGGAACCTTCCAACAACCAAACTCCTTAAATGGAGTTTTGTAATGTATTGTAAAAAACATTTCTCTATTTTCCTGGATCATATTCATTTTTGTGGGGAATATATAGTAAGAACTTTTTAAGGGAAGTTTTATTAGAAAAAAAATGCTACACTAACCTAGCTGGATTTTTTTTTTCCCCTTTCTAACTTTTTGAGGAAATGTATACCTGAGTAAACTGGGAAATTTTGTTTCCTGTTGATTTAGAGAAAGCACAAACAAAAAGGCCTTGGATAAAATTTTCTTAATAGAAAGTCTGTTGAGTACCCTATAAATAAATCAGTGTTCATGGTCTTATATTGTTAGTAAATTATTTTGGAAAACTATCACTGTGATGCTGAGATGTGTTTTTGGCTCAAAGAATTATAGTCTCTCAGAATTGGAAGGGCCAGTAATGAATCTAGAGTCTAATCTTCCTCCTTCTGATGGGTAAGGAACACAAGCCCAGAATGATTTGTTGGCTATCCCTAAGTCCTGTAACTTGTATTAGAATCAGATACAGAACCTATGTCTTCAAATACCAAGTCTAGTGCTCATTCTGCTTCTCTGAGCTCTGTTCACTTTTGCTGTTATTGTTGTTGTTGGGATGGAGGAAGAAGGTAAGAATTATGAAAACTATGAACAATCAAGGATCACCTGTGAGCAATACCCACTTCGTATATTACCTACTATTGATTCCACCTCTACTGGGCCAAGTGGTAACCTGGTCACCCAGGAGAGGTGCAAACCACAGCTTACCACCATCTGGCTCAATATTCTCAGGATACACAAATCAATACTGAAATGAAACCAAAAAACTTTGAGATGCAATGTATAACTGCTCTTTCAATAGCTGGGGACTTAATTTACCAAGTTACAAATGTGATAGATATCATCATGAGAGCCAGAGACCTAAATTATAGCTTTGAGCCATATATGTCCAGTGAGAAAAACGAAGTTCACCTGGCCCTGATCTTAGTATATCCAGGTGTCCTTCTGATTGGCTCGACATAATGTTCCCTCACATAATTTGGTTGCTTAAAAAGCGTAAGCTAAATGAAGTCTCGAAAAATTTTTCTTGAATATCCAGAAATTTTCTAGAATA